TGGGTTCAAGCCCCACGCTGGGCTCTGTGCTGACAGCTCGGAGCCTGGAGCCTGCTTCGGATTCTGTGTCTCCCTCTCTCTGCCCCTTCCCCGCTCATGCTCTGTCTCTGTCTCTGAAAGATGAATAAACGTTACAAAAAAAAAAATTAAAAGATAAGTGTACTCTTGATCCCCTTTTGTTTTTTAAATTCTACATTAGTGAAATCATATAGTTGTCTTTCTCTGACTGACTTATTTCACTTAGCTCTGTCCATGTTGTTAAAAATGGCAAGCTCTCATTCTTTTTTATGGTTAATAGTCCCCTGTATGTATGTATGTATGTATGGGTGTATGTGTATATGCACCACATCTTTATTGATGGACACTTGGGTTGCTTCTATATCTTAACAATTGTAAATAATGGTACAGTAAATATAGAGGTGCATACATTTTTTTGAATTAATGTTTTCATTTCTTTCAGTAAATACCCAGTAGTGGAATTACTGGATCAAATGGCACTTCTGGTTTTAATTTTTTGAGGAATCTCTGTACTGTTTTCCACAGAGGTTGAACCAGTTTGCATTCCCACCATCAGTGCCCTAGGGTTCCTTCTCCATATCCTCCCCAACACATGATATTTCTTGTGTTTTTGATTTTAGCTATTCTGACAGGTGTGAGGTGATACCCCATTGTGGTTTTGATTTGCATATCCTTGATGATTAGTGACATTGAGTATCTTTTCATGCACCTGTTGGCCATCTGTATGTCTCCTTTGGAGAAGGGTCTGTTTAGGTCCTCTGCCTGTTTTTAATTTGGTGGTGGTGGTGGTGGTGTTTGGTTGTATAAGTTCTTTATATAATTTTTGGTTATTAACCCCCTATTGTATACATCATTTGCAAATATCGAATTTGGTATGTTGCCTTTTTGTTTTGTTGAGGTATAGAAGTGATTTTGGGGGCAGGGGTGGGTAGAGTCCCAATAGCTTAATTTTGCTTTTGTTTCCCTCTCCTGAGGAGACATAGCTAGAAAAATGTTTTTACAGCTAATGTCTAATTATTGCCTGTATTTTTTTCTTGGAGTTTTATGGTTTCAGATCTTACCTTTAGGTCTTTAAACAATTTATTTTTGTGTATGATGTGAGAAAGTGGTCCAGTTTCATTCTTTCGCATGTAGCTTACCTGTTTTCCCAGCACCATTTGTTAAAAAGACTGTCTTTTCTCCACTGTTTCTTAAAAAAAAAAAAATTGTTTTTTGCACTTTTATTTATTTTTGAGAGGCATAGCATAAGTGAGGGAGGGGCAGAGAGAAAATGAGACACAGAATCCGAAGCAGGCTCCAGGCTCCCAGCTGTCAGCCCAGAGCCCGACGTGGGTTTCAAACTCAGGAACCATGAGATCATGACCTGTGCCAAAGTTGGATGCTTAACCGACTGAGCCACCCAGGTGCCCCTGTCTTTTCCCCATTGTATATTCTCTCCTCCTTTGTCATAGATCAGTTGACCTGAAAAATGGGATTATTTCTGGGTTCTCTATTCTGTTCCATTTATTTGTCTGTTTTTGTGCCAGTGCCATAGTGTTTTGATTACTATACCTTTGTAGTATACTTTGGAATCTGGGAGTGTGATTCTTACAGCTTTGTTCTTCTTTCTTAAGATTGCTTTGCCTATTCTGGGTCTTTTGTGGTTCCATACAAATTTTAGTATTATTCTAGTTCTGTGAAAAATGGCATTTTGATAGAGATTGCATTAAATCTGTAGATTGTTATGAACATTTTAACAGTCTGTGAGCATGGAATATCTTTCCATTTCTTTGTGTCCTCTTCAGTTTCTTTCATCATTGTTTTTATAGTTTTCATTGTACAGTCTTTCACCTCCTTGGTTAAGTTTATTCCCGAGTATTTTATTATTTTGGGTGTAATTGTAAATGGTTTTTTTTTTGAAGTTCCTCTTTGTAGCTGTATTTTTTTAAATAGATAATTGTTTATCAAATTGATGAAATTACCTTTTATTTCTAGTTTGCTGAGAATTTTTATCAGAAAGGGATGTTGGATTTTATTAAATGCTTTTTTTTCATCTGTTGGTTACATGATTTTTGTTTCTTTAGCCTTTTAATGTGATGGATTACATTGATTGATTTTTTTTTTTTAATGTTGAACCAGCCTTACATATCTGGGATAAATCCCTCTTCATTGTGGTATATGATTTGTCTTGTACTTTCAGAATTCAGTGCTTTAGTATTTTATTGAGGACTTCTGTGTGTCTTCATGACAGATAGTGGTTTATAGTTTACTTGTTGTTTGTTATGTTAACTGGTTTTGGTATTAGGGTAATGCTGCCCTTATAGTATGAATAAAGAAGTATTTTCTCTTCTGTCCTCTGCAAGAGATTGGAGAGAATTGTTGTATTTTCTTCCTTAAATGTTTGGTAGAATTCACCAGTGAACCCATGTGGGCCTTGTTTTTCCTGTTTTGGAAACTTAAGTATTGACTTAATTTATGAGTTGTGAGAGTTTTTAAAATATTCTGGATACAAGTTTCTTATTAAATATATGATTTACAAATAAGTTTTCATTAATGTTCTTTTTTAGTAAGATCATCTTAGTAAGATCAGTTGTGTTGGCAGTGTTTTTTAGACCTTAGAAATCTTGAACAAAAATTTTTTTCTCATTATTCATAATAGTCTAAAAAATGGAAACAACCCCAAAACTACTTTTAAAGCATCCATTATCTGAAGGGCAGTATGCTTTGGCGATAGACTCATTTCCTATTTTATTTGCCCACCAATAGTTTGAAATTGTTAAAATAATTAACAATGGTAAAAAATTCAGACTGAAGGTATTTGAACGGTGGACCAAGTTGGTAGGAGCCCAAAACTGTTTTGATTTTGATTTTAAACCAGCAGAAATACTGGTCAGAACCTCTGTTTATCCTTTCCATATATTGATATTAACAAGCACTTTTGTCTCTCGAATGACATATAGGCTGCATGGGCTGCGTTTTAGAGTGGGAAGTCATGAAAATTGTTTCCTGAGCAGTGAGTGTGTCTTTTCCCACCAGTAGCCAGTGCCTGAAAACAATTGATATCCAACTTTTTGTTCATTTCTCACAATATCTCTAAATTTGATGAGTTTTCATCTGATATAATTATTCTGTTCTCATTGCTTTTGTTGCAAGCACTTATTTCCTGCTATTTCAATGACTTCATAGTTGATTTTCCTACTTTCAGTTATTCCATTTTTTTCATCTTCCACAATGCTCTAAGGATCTAAGAAGTGGTTGATCTGATGGTATTTTCTCCTTTAGTAGTTACAAAAGTCCAATTTTCAGAAGTGCCAGTCAGTAACAATTTGGTCCATGCAAGAGAAGAAAAATAAGGACAAGACTTTATACAAATAAAGTTTATTCACTTTAAAAGCCTGTTTTATTCTATTATGTTGTCATGTTTGAGGAGTATATAAAATGTCCCTTTTAAAAGTTGGAGTGGGATTAAGTGGTATTTGCTAATTTAGATTTCCTTGCTTGTCAGCCTGGCAATTCTTTCTAAATTTTAAATTAGAACATCTTTATTTTGGTCTCTGAAATCCAAAGGTCTTAGAATCAGTGGTCTATATAACACATGGTCCCTAATACCCTGATGATGGCACATAATAGTTTGGTTGTGAAATATCTAATGAATTTCGTCTCTAATGCTACTCCAGTTCATTCATTGAGGCTCTGTGGAGGACTTGGTGCAGAAGGCTTGTGAGACCAAATTTGTACTAAGCTGAAGCCACATTGAGTTTGCAGTAGGGATGGGCAAGGGATGGATGAACTCTGGATCTGGCCTGTTCCTACTTATTCAGCTTTGCATCTTCTACTTTTCCATGTGTGCAAGGCTTATTCTGTACAGGTACCCTGAACGAATAATATATAGTTCCCTGAAACCATGCAGTATGCTTCTTGTAATTGAAGCATAATAGAAAAGGACACTTTTTAAAAAAATTTTTTTTTAACATTCATTTTTGAAAGGCAGAGACAGAACGCGAATGGGGGAGGGGCAGAGAGAGAGGGAGACACAGGAGCAGAAGCAGGCTCCAGGCTCTGAGCTCTGAGCTGTCAGCACAGAGTCCAATGCCGGGCTCAAACTCATGGACCACGAGATCATGACCTGAGCCAAAGTCGGCTCCTTAACCGACTGAGCCACTCAGGCGCCCCGAAAAGGACACTTTCAACAATTATGTTGGAATATGTTCTTATTATTTAAATCTACATATTTAAAGGGATAGACTAATCCTTTTTCTTTTTGTGCCTTGCATAGAATAAACTGTTTTAACCAATTAAAGAATTAGGAGGAAGTGAAATAGTTTGTACATTCCGAGTAATTTTTGTATTACAGGTTGCTATAACTTGTGTGTGTATATTTCTGTGTTCAAAGAGAAAACCTTGAGCTAAGAGTTTTAATATATACTATGTTTACTATGTATATGTTTACCTGTTTCTTGCTTCACTGATGAAAAAAATCCAGATACTAGGATTTTTTTTTTTAATACCATTTACATTCTGAGAAAAATACAGAATATTTCTGGACAGTAGATCCAGGATGCATTTTTTATTATTTGAAAAATCTTGTTTTTATAGTAGAGTTTTCATAATTTATTTATATATTATTTTCTTGGTGTTCTGTTCACCTTTAGGAAAGGACATAGGTTTCTCAGGAGTTTGAAATATTAAATCAGGAAAACAAAATGATTGTAAGAATTTTGTTCTTCAGTTTTTTCTAACACAAGTATTTATATACAGTTACATAGTAGATTTAATCTGTATCAGATTGATTACCTAGCAAAGTATAATTACAGTATAAAGTAAAGGGTCATGTGAGTAGAAAGGAACAAAAAACTATGAAAAACCTACATAGTAGAAAAATGTATGCTTGTGAGGAATGATTGAATTCGGAATAAATTTAGTAGACTGAATACAAGCATTTTGTTGTTCGTTACAACCGTTTTTTTTGTTTTGTTTTGTTTTTTGTTTTTTTTTACTGATAGTCTACATCAGCATCAGCATCACCATTTCAGTCTGCTTGGTATAGTGAATCTGAGATAACTCAGGGAGCACGCTCAAGATCACAAAACCAGCAACGGGATCATGATTCAAAAAGACCTAAACTTTCCTGTACAAACTGTACATCTACCTCTGCTGGGAGAAATATTGGACATGGTTTAAATGCTGTATCAGGTAAGAGTTAAATTTGTGTAAGGGTTATTATATATGCACTATGGACTAAAGCCCTTTTACCAAAACTTAGTGTTATTAAACAAGTTCTGCATGCAAGAGTGGGTCAGAAATGTAGTGGAGATTTCAAAATCTTATTAGTGCTGAAACTAAAATTAACTCAGTTTGGATTTTCTTTCTAAATTTGATACAAATTTCCTGTACAAACAAGATTAACATATTTTGGTTAATTAGAATAGCTGATCTGTTTGGTAATCAAATTGGTAAAAATGACATGTATTTTGCTGGTTATTGTATAGGAGGTCACTTTTTTTTTTTTTTTAATTGTTATACTAGGGAAGCCAAATGTACTGATACGTTAACATTCCCTAACCTAAGCGTATCTTTTATAAATGGTGAATATTGTGTTATATACTTATATTGAGAAAAAATAGAAATTCTTTAAACAAAATAGTTGATGGTATTCTATTTGGAGTTCTATATATAAGGAATCTGAAAGCGATGATTCAATTCTAGACTTCTGTATGGCATTGGACAAGTCACTTAACCATTCTGGGATTTAGATGACTTATCCATAAAGTTCCATGCATGGTATTTTGTACTCACAGACATACATTTATTGCACAAATTGAAAACATCTTTTCTTTTTCTTGAGGGGGCAGAGGAAGCTCCCGCCTCACTTAGAGTCCTCTTCAAATGAAACACTAGGAAATGCCTGAAATAGTTTTAAGATGAGACAGTTTGTGATGACACAATTGGAGATAAAATTCTTGAAATGCATTTGTATTATCATTTGAATTAGTGTAAGCGATTCCTTTCTATTTTGATAGGCAGGACCGCCTGGGGAAAGACACTGCCCATCTGAAGAATATTAAGAGTAGTGTGATGGGTAAGAGCAGACTGTCCTTAACATTGTAGACAAACACCATTGTGCACAGATACTTTTGGTCTCTTCTCTGTGAAGGCATAGCATTAAATACCCTGGGCCATTTCCCTTAATGAGGAGGAATCAATAAGGCTATTGGGACTAGGAAAGGAAGAAACAAAATTTCAAGGTAAATAGTTAGGGGGGAAAGTTATCAGACTTATTTTTAATTTATTTTGTTAGATATGATTTCATTTAAAAATTTAGATTATGATTGCAACAGTACATTAATTTTTACAATAAGTGAAGCAAGTGTGATGGCAATGATAATATTTCTGATAAAATATCTTCAGTGGCTATAGTAAAACATCTTCCATTTTGACATGGCTTGATTTTAATTTTGGCTGTTCTCCAATATCAGTTTCATTGACTTTTCAGGAAATTCTGCATCTTTGACCAGCTTTGCATTTTGTTCTGTAATTATTTTACATCAAGCTCACATGGTATGGTCAGGTGTTCTAGAAGGTGACTGAGACATTGGCATCATGGATGGGTGGTAAATTGTAGTGTTAGAGAAGAATATTTGAGTAGGAAACAATTTTATAAGTGATGAGTTCATTAGTGAATAATTTTATGTTTTGCTGAATTTTGCTTCTGATTGCAACTATGTAACAAATCATGATAACCTCCCTGTATAATACCACAGAACTGTCATCAGAAATCTTGAAAGCATTTTCTGAATTAAAATTTCTTCCATTATTTTAAGAATCTTCTTGGAGGCATAATCAAGTTCCTAGGTCTTCATCAATGGTACTTGGATCATTTGGAACTGACTTGATGAGAGAGAGAAGAGATTTAGAGAGAAGAACAGATTCTTCCATTAGTAATCTTATGGATTATAGCCACCGAGGTGGTGATTTCACAAATTCATCATGTATGTATAAATTGTATTATTATGTATAGCCTAATAGTGTTACATTTTCCTCTGTGTATGTATTATTAAAATGACAGTAGAGGGGCGCCTGGGTGGCGCAGTCGGTTAAGCGTCCGACTTCAGCCAGGTCACGATCTCGCGGTCCGGGAGTTCGAGCCCCACGTCGGGCTCTGGGCTGATGGCTCAGAGCCTGGAGCCTGTTTCCAATTCTGTGTCTCCCTCTCTCTCTGCCCCTCCCCCGTTCATGCTCTGTCTCTCTCTGTCCCAAAAAATAAAAATAAACGTTGAAAAAAAATAAAATGACAGTAGAAACGAATACATGAAGTGCATCTTACGGAGATTTCAAAATAGCTTAGTATGTTTTTATACTGTATACTAGCTTATTTGTTTTTATACTTTAAAAAATAAAAAGCTTAAAATAGATGTACAGTCGTATCTGGATTTTGCCTGCTTATAATTTTCTAAAAATATATGTTGGGGCAAATATATGTTGGTTTAGTCAGTTAAGTTTCCCACTCTTGGTTTCAGCTCAGGTCATGATCTCATGGTTCGTAAGATCAAGCCCTGCATTGGGCTCTGTGCGGTCAGTTTGGAGCCTGCTTGGATTCTCTCTCCTCTCTGACCCTCCCCCACTCTTTCACTCTCAAAATAAATAAATATTGAAAAATATTTTATTAAAAACTATGTTGTAAAGTATACTAAATAATTTTAGCATACCCCAATATCATTTGCGTTATACAGTTGACCCTTGAACAATGCAGGGGTGAGGGCACTGGCCCCTATCTGCCCCTTCCTCCGGTGCAGTTGAAAATCTATGTATATATAACTTTTGACTCCCCTAAAACTTTACTACTCATACCCTACTGCTGACTGGAAACCTTACCAAAAATGTAAGCAGTTAGTTAACATATACCTGTATGTGTTACATAATGAATTCTTATAATAAAGTAAGCTAGAGAAAATAAATTATGTCATTAAAAAAATCATAAGGGGTGCCTGGGTGGCTCAGTTGGTTAAGTGTCTGACTTCGGCTCAGGTCATGATCTCGCAGTTGGTGAGTTCGAGCCCTGCATCGGGCACTGTGCTGACAGCTTGGAGCCTGGAGCCTGCTTCGAATTCTGTGTCTGTCTGTCTGTCTGTCTCTCTGTCTCTCTCTCTCTGCCCCTACCCGCCCTCCCCAAAATAAATAAACATTAAAAATGTTAGAAAAGAAAAAATCGTAAGAGAAATACATATATCATGCCTACTGTATTTACCAGAAAAATCTGTGGATAAGTGGACCTATGCAGATCGAATCCATGTTGTTCAGCAATTAACTGTATAGTGTAATAACTACTTAATGGTAAATTTCTGACCTAACTAAAGCTTGAAATCAACATTTTAAGGCATAATTTAGAATTACGTTTGTTTAACATGAATGTGCCTTTATTCATTCAGTTGAAATAAAGACCCACACTATTTCTGTTAGTGTATTAAGGTTTTCAAAATTAAATGTCATAAAATAGTAATACTAAAAAAAAGTGCTTATTGAAGTTGACAGATCTAGCAGGCAGAAGTGGAGTTTGATTTACATAGAAGAAAATACATTTGTTTGGGGCACCTACGTGGCTCAGTCAGTTAAGCGTCTGACTTGATTTTGGTTCAGGTTATGATCTCAGGGTTCTTGAGATCGGGTGCCTGTGTTGGGTTCTGTGTGGACAGCACAGAACCTGCTTGGGGCTCTCGGTCTGTCTCCTTCTCTCCCTGCCCCTCCCCTGCTTGTGTTTTCTCTCTCAAAATAAATAAACTAAAAAAAAAAAAAAAAAAAAAAAAAATTGTTTTAGGTAATCTCTTCACCCATTCTGGAGCTCAAACTTACAACCCCATCAACTGAGCCAGCCAGGCACACCCTGTGTAGGTTATTTTAAATAAAGTTATTGGGGCAGTCTTTGCCATGATCAATGAAGACCTCTTTTTATTTGTTTGGTTTTAGGTGTATGAGCTCTAGTATATAGTATCAGTGGCGTCTAGGTTTGAATGTCTAAAAGTATAGGGTAGAATAGATTTAGCCACTAACAGTTTATCCCTTCATGAAGGTCCATGTGTTAGCACAGTAGCAATCTCACTCTTTAAGTGTGTGGATGAGAATTCTTTATAAAGGAATGCTGTAGTATTTCTCATCCCATTTTAAGGTGTAGAACCACCAGTAGTGGGCTCTATTCTGACTCCTAGCTTCTAGCAAGTGTTGAAAAGTAGAGTTATGTCTGATAAGTAACAGAGATAAGAACTTGAAAGAAAAAAGGTTGGAGGAATTTTTAGCTGTCAACCAAGGTTTGCCGTAAAATTTTAAAGATGATAGTATTTGTATGAAATAACTTTTATACTTGCAGTGTAGGAAGAATCTCCAAAACACTGTCTTCCTAGGATTATTTTGCCATTATTTATTGTAAGAGTCCTTTACAGTGAATTATTTGGCTCATTGAAAATTTCTTATCCATTTAGAGGCATCTGGGTGGCTCAGTCGGTTAAGCATTCGACTTTGGCTCAGATCAAGATCTCATGGTTTGTGAATGTGAGCTCCACATCATTCTCTCCACTGTCAGCGCAGAGTCCACTTTGGATCCTCTGTCTCCCTCTCTCTCCCACACACGCTCTCTCTCAAAAATAAACATTTAAAAATAAAATAAAATTCCTTATCCATTTAGATGTTAGATATTTACCATATCAATTTCTGATTAACAAATTCAGACTGTTATACCTTCATTAATTTAGTAGATTTAGATGTTTGTCTCATTAGCCATGATATATTTCTTTCTTTTCAGTTTGCAGTGTTAACTTAGTATAAAAAGAGAAATACATTTATGTTTTTTTCTGTAATAGTAGTTAAGCTGTGTATTCATAATAATAGCAGTATTGGTTTGAATCCAGTGTTTCATTTTGCAAATATTAGTTAATTCTAAATTTAATACTCAAAATATTCCATGTAATTGGTTATCTTTCTTTTCTTTCAAAAATAGATATTCAAGACAGAGTTCCTTCTTCATATTCACAGGGAGCAAGACCAAAAGATAACTCAGTGAGCACTTTACAGTTGAATACATCATCCACAAACCACCAGATGCCTTCTGAACATCAGACTGTACCATGTTCTAGGGACTCTAATAGAAATTCTCTACGGTCAAATTTTTCTCCAAGAGAATTGGAATCTCCCCAAAGCAGTACACAGCCTGGATTTTCTTATCTTTCAAATAGAGATGAAGCTTCAACCATAAGCAGTTCGGATAGGGTTGGTTCATCTCAAAGATCATTTCAAGACTCTTCTGACAATGAAGGTAGACGGTCAACCAGAAGATTGCTGTCACGTATAGCTTCTAGTATGTCATCTACCTTCTTTCCCCGAAGATCTAGTCAGGATTCCTTGAATACAAGATCATTGAGTTCTGAAAATTCCTATGTTTCTCCAAGAATCTTGACAGCTTCACAGTCTCGTAGCAATGCAGCGTCAGCTTCTGATGTTCCCGATAGTAGGGCATCTGAAGCTTCTCAGGGATTTCGATTTCTTAGGCGAAGATGGGGTTTGTCATCTCTTAGCCAAAATCATAGCTCTGAGCCTGATTCAGAAAATTTTAACCAAGAATCTGAAGGTAGAAATACAGGACCATGGTTATCTTCCTCACTTAGAAATAGATGCACACCTTTGTTCTCTAGAAGGAGACGAGAGGGACGAGATGAATCTTCAAGGATACCTACCTCTGATATACCATCTAGATCTCATCATATTTTTAGAAGAGAATCAAATGAAGTGGTTCACCTTGAAGCACAGAGTGATCCCCTTGGGGCTACTGCCAGCAGATCACAAGCATCTGCAGCATCGAGTAGTACTGCTACGGGTGGCTCCACATCAGATTCAGCTCACAGTGGAAGAAATACAGGAATAACAGGGATCCTTCCTGGTTCTTTATTTCGATTCGCAGTCCCCCCAGCACTTGGAAATAATTTGACCGACAATGTCATGATCACTGTAGATATTATTCCTTCAGGTTGGAGTTCATCTGATGGAAAAAGTGATAAAACTAAAAGTGCACCTTCAAGAGACCCAGAAAAACTGCAGAAAATAAAAGAGAGGTAAATTTGAATACCTGTCATAAGTCTGTAAAGCAAGAGCAGATTAGAGGAAGAAATCTTTTTTTATTTTTGAAGGGAGAAAGCATGCGAGTGGGAAGGGGCAGAGAGAGAGAGGGACAGAATCTGAAGGGGGCTCTGCAGTGAGCCTGATGTGGGACTCAAAGTCGTGAACTGTGAGATCATGACCTGAGCTGAAGTCAGATGCTCAACCAAGTGAACCACCCAGGTGCCCCAGGAATCTTTATTTCTAAAATGGCTTCTCATAACAAGAAACATACCGGAAATTTCTTTCCTTAAGATTTATACCCACTAAGATGTTAAATTCTCAGAGGTAAAGTGGATGAGAATTAATAATGAAGATAGGCACTGGGGGTGTAGATTGCATCAAGATAGTCTGAAGATTATTTTTAACCAGCTTTCAATACAGCTTTTTGCATAAAAAGGCAAAAAATCTTAATGTCTCACCCCATTCCTTGGTAGAACCATTGCTAAGTAGAATTGATAAAGGGACCCCAGTGGTTTATAAATTATCAAAACTATCTGTCTTACCTTTAGTTAAGATTTATTTACCATTTATTTGTATATCTCATCTCAGACTCTTCTGGAATGAGATAAAATAAAATCATTTGCACAAATTTTGTTTTTGATGTGTACATGTACACAGAATATTCTTTGTGTATTGATTTGACAGAAATAGTAGTTTAAATATAGGACTTAGAATCTTTTTATGCAGATACAATCTTTGTACCGTTGATTATTTAAAAATCTCTGGTAAGAGTGAAAAGATGAAAGATCAGAGATTTCAGTCCCAACTTGATTGTTTATTTTGTCATTTTAGTGTACTTAGTTTTTCCATTTATTAAAATAATTTTTATTGTAAAATGGATTAGGATAGTTTATGTAAAATATAGGAAGACAAGACTTAGGTAAAGCTAAGGTTGTGGGGTGTTTTAACTTGTTGCTTTTTCTTCATAAATAACTAATGTAATGGGATTGTTGGGAAGCATAGCTTTTACTATTTTAGATTTTTTTATTTTTTTAAGAAATACATTAAAATGTAACTCTCTGGGGATAAAGAGAGTCTGGGTTGTTGGATATTAGGCTACTACATTCCCTTTTTTCCTTATGTAGGACAAATTGTAGCATGGGACTATTCTCTTCCCGCATTTGAAGTTTGCTATTTTTCCTTTCTTGAAAAAAGATGCCCTGGTATTCTTAGCTTTAATGTCATAGTAACTCCCTCTGATTATAAGCTGTCTGCTGATAAATGTAGTAACTATTATATTTCCTGTGTTCAAAGTTAGGTTAATTTGAGGGCAGTGGTTCAACAGAGGGCAAAGCATTAGTTTGGTAATTTCCAAAGAGAAACAAACTAAGCCAGCACCACCATGTCTGGTTAGATTATAAAGCAGTGTTTGTTGGTTATTTTGTCATAGAAATAGTGTGTGGGTATTCCTTCGTTATATATTTTTTGCTAATATGTGATTTCAAGACACTCCACAAGTAAATTAATACGAGTCTAAAAAATTGAAACTCTTAAGTAAAAATAATTGAAAGTATAAGCCAGAGAAAGTTAAATCTGAAGGTAAAACATAAATATTTATGCTTGAGGTTATATCTCTGGCTTAACCAGACCATGATAATCACCTAACAGTTGTATATCTAATCCTCTTTCCATACATCTTTTTGCTGAATTCATTAGGAACCTGTATCATCCAGGTTATATTTTAGTAACAGTTTAGCATTCAGTTGTAATTTACTGAGTTACTTCTTTCATGCCAGCAGTGGACTAAGGCAATAAGCACTTTAACAAACATTAAATATTTGTAAAATATATATAAATGGCTATCATTCTGCATTTAAATTAAGCAGTACATGTGGGCCTGTTAGAGGACATAGGTTAATGAAAACTGCTTCACACTTTAAAAGCCTACTCTGTTGAAATGAGGATGATTAAATAAATAACATTGCTAGGGGTGGGGGAAATGAATAAAAGTCTTTGTTCTTTTACTGTGATTTAGCACAAAAAGTTTATCAGTTTAACTCTATGTGGTTCTGATAGCATGTAAGTGAAAAAACACAAGCCCATATTTAATTTTTTGAAGTTGTACTAAATGTTTTTTTGGAGATGAGGGAGGAAAGTGCTAAGTATGTAAGTACATTACCTTTATACTGTTGGAACTGAAGTAGTCTACGGTACTGTAGAAATTAAGGAACTGAAGTAGTCTACGGTACTGTAGAAATTAAAATTTCTTGGGATATTTGTAAAGTGATTGTGAAAAATAAGGTGTGATACGAAATAAGTGTGATATCAAAGACAAAATCACTTAAAGCCTTTGAAGGTAAATAATAGGATATCCTGTTTCATTTACCTTTAAAACAGTTATTGTCATTTTCATTCTCATTGAATTGGTTTTTAATGGTGGTTGGAGTTTTTTATGGTTGTTTGCTTTTTTTCTACTTAGAACATGAATAGAAATAACAAAAATATTGTTTGAGATTATGTATGATTTGAAATGACCAACCAGGATGAGTTTTGATAGCTGTATTTACAAGATGCTCCTTCTTTTCTAGCCTCCTTTTAGAGGACTCTGAAGAAGAAGGTGACTTATGTAGAATTTGTCAGATGGCAGCTGCATCATCATCTAACTTGCTGATAGAGCCGTGCAAGTGCACAGGAAGCTTGCAGTATGTTCACCAAGATTGTATGAAAAAGTGGTTACAGGCCAAAATTAACTCTGGTAAGATTTACCTTTTTGTGTGTTTTGTTTTTGCAGTCTTTCCAAGAGATGCACGTACATATAGGTTTTAGTTACCAAATCTGATTATAATTTACTGATTGTCAAATTTATACTCTTATCAAAAGTATGGTAATTAATTTTTGAAGCAAAAGAATTAATGAACTTCATTAATCTTGCTTCAGAATTTAATGTATTGTACTGTGTTTTTTTTTTTAAATATTACTTCTTTTGGGGCGCCTGGGTGTCTCAGTCGATGATGTGTCTGACTTGGGCTCATGTCATGATCTCAGTTTGTGAGTTCGAGCTCTGTGTCCGGCTCTGTGCTGACAGCTTAGAGCCTGGAGCCTGCTTCAGATTCTGAGTTTCCCTCTCTCTCTCTGCTACTCCCCCGCTCGCGCGCGCGCGCTCTCTCTCTCTCTCTCTCTCTCTCTCTCTTTCTCAAAAGTAAATAAACATAAATAAGTAATTAATTTTTGAGAGAGAGAGTGCAAGCTGGAGAGGGGCAGAGGGAGAGGGAGATGGAGAATCAGAAGCAGGCTCTAGCCTCTGAGCTGTCAGTGCAGAGCCCAATGCAGAGCTCAAACTCAAAACCATGAAATCTTGACCTGAGCTGAAATCAAGAGTCAGATGCTTAACTGACTGAGCCACCTAGGCACCCCCTTTTTTTTTTAATGTTTATTTATTTATTTTGAGAGAGTGAAATTTAATTTTAAAGTTGAGAGAAATTTGTTAGACCATGAGTACCAGAGGACATAAGTAAAAATGACTCCTAAGGTGAGAAGGGTGGGAAATTAGACGAGATTAGTAAATGTGCACAATTTTAAAAAATTTGTTTAATTTATTTGTTTTGAGAGAGAGAGCAAGCAGGGGAGGGGCAGAGAGAGAGAAAGAGGGAGGGAGACACAGCATCCCAAGCAGGCCCTATGCTGTCAGCACAGAGCCCCACACGAACCGTGAGATCATGAGCTGATAAGAAGAGCCAGATGCTTGACTGACTGAGCCACCCAGGCACACCAGTGTATGCTGTTGTATGAGATTGATGGTCTGATAATAGTTGGTGACAGGAAAATAATTTGTGAGGTAGGATGGCATTAATACTGATTTTTTTTTTTTTTTTAACATTTATTTATTTTTGAGAGACAGAGCATGAGCAGGGCAGGGGCAGAGAGAGGGAGACACAGAATCAGAAGCAGGTTCTAGGCTCCGAGCTGTCAGCACAGAGCCCAATGCGGGACTCAAATCCACGAACCGCGAGATCATGACCTGAGGCGAAGTCGGATGCTCAACCAACTGAGCCACCTCGGTGCCCCATTAATACTGATTTTAATCATCATTTTGGAAGACTTGGGTAACCTGTTCAAGCTGGAGATTATGAGGCTCCTGGGAAAAATTTGTAGCTATGTAGCCAAGGCCTCCTTTGGGGTAGGGAGGTTATGTTTTCTTTTAAACTAGCCTGATCCCAGTGCTGTGGGGGAAGACCCATCTCACCTGTTGCAGCTTCTTCTTAGCTGTACGGTGGTATGATAGCTTCTTGGCTTTATCATGTCCTGGGCCATTATCAAGATTAAATGAATGTTCAGCATGGTAGCATTTGTTCTTGACACTTAGTAAGGGCCCAGCAATGTGTTAGCCATTACCAAAATGAGAAACAAGTTGACTCACCTTCTAATACCTTTGCAGTTAGACATTTAGTGTTGTGTAGGCAGGAAAACAGTTGATACAGTGTGTTAAGAACATTGTTAGGCCTAGATTGGAATAATGGCACTAAAACTTAACTGAAGGATCTTGAGTAAGTTTTTTTTTAACATTGGTTCTCAACCTTGGCTGCTGATCAAAATTATCCCTTAGAGTTTTAAAAAACATTGATGCCTTAGATCTACTTTTGAATGTTCTTAAGTAGGTCTGCGATTGGGCCTCAGATCCATTATGAGTAAAACTGAGTAATTCTTACCACATAAGGTTGTTGTGAAGGTCAAATGAGATGACATTTATAAATAGTTTCTCACAGTACTGGGCATGTGGTAAATACTCAATTAGAGGGTGTTACCAGGTTATTAATAAGCTTTCTAAGATATGATCAGATGAATGTAAAGATCTCAAGAACTGAACCTTCTTGATAAATTTTCACAAAGGCTTTCTCATACTTACGTAAAGACCCCATCTAGTAGAAGATTCATTCTGGTAGAGATTGATTTTAAGCATTTATTAAGCAGCTGTCACGTATGGACTGTTAAACTCTCAGGGTATGCGAAAATGAATAAAGCAAGTCTAGTACAAGTTGAGGCAAATGCAGTCAGGGCAGTCAAGGCCTACTGAATGAGGTGGGGTCTTAATGGAGAGAGCCCTAGATTAAACATGTAGGGATAAATGGGCTTTTCTGAGCTGTATATGATCTACTGAACGTTGTTCTATAAGTCACTTAATTCCTAGAAGAAAAAACATGAAGCACTAAAACGTGAAAGAATTTGTACTAAATGATCTCAAAGGCCCATATTTTATAATCACACTTCTCCTGCTTCTGAATCAGAGAATAGTTCTAAGAAATGTCTGATAAATGTAGGGCGCCTGGGTGGCTCAGTAGGTTAAGTGTCCAACTTTGGTTCAGGTCAGGATCTCACCATTCGTGAGTTCGAGCTCCACCTCAGGCTCTGTGCTGACAGCTCAGAGCCTGGAGCCTGTTTCAGATTCTGTGTCTCCCTCTTTCTCTGTCTGTCTGTCTGTCTGTCTCTCTCTCTCAAAAATAAACATTAAAAATTTTAAAAACAAATGTCTGATAAATGTCTTTCACGTTCTTTGTTTTCCATCAGTCATAGTATGGACTTATCCTGAATTTAGTTCAGTGGTACAATATTAATTGTCTTTAATTCACATATTCCAGATGCATTTTAATTTCAGTATCTCTATGTATGTTAGACTCCTAAAACAGCAACAACAACTTGGTTTTAATCATATATTGGAAATATAGTGACTATCTTAATGTAATTTGACTACAGGACATTTTGAGACAACAGAGAACATACTACCTCAGAATAGCACTCACTTTCTGTTCAACTATTTTCAAAAGAAAATGCATATAAATTACTGCTGTCTTAGACTTTATGCCAGATTTTACTGTTTAAGAGCTTTAAGAGCTTGAAGGCAGAGGTTGCTACTTTTCTTTTTCCTTCTAAATTTTGGCATATAACAGTCAACAAATGTTAATTGAATCTAAACTTCTACCCTGTTAATCACATGACTTCTCTACTTTTAGGATATGTGTGTATGTGTGTGTGTGTGTGTGTGTGTGTGTGTGTGTGTGTGTATTTTAGGATATATATACATATATATATACACACACTTTTAGGATATATATATATATATGTATATGTATATTTTAGTTTAAAGCTGTCTAAAAATAAGCATGGGGTAGAATGGCTATATGTTTAATTAGACAAAATTACCAATGATTTAATTGGAGCCAGAAGTTTAGGAGTAACCAGTAACTGCATATTGGACAGAAAGAACTCTTTTTCCTTTTGTGATAAAATATATATAAAGTAAAATTTCCCTTTTGACCATTATTACATGTGTAATTCAGTGTCATTGAGTATGTTCAGAATGTTGTGTGACCACCACCACTATCTACTTCCAAAATTTTATTACCACCCCAAAACAAAAACTCTTCATCCATTAAGCAGCAACTCCCACCTCCCCTTCTCCTGAATCCCTGGTAACTTATTTACTTTCATCCATGTTGTATGTAGCATGTATCAAGACTTCGTTCCTTTTATGACTGAAGGGAGCTGTTTTTACCTAGACAAAGGTGGATTCCTTTTGTTCCCTCCTAGCTTACAGGGAATGCACATTTCTTAGAGGACAAAAGGTCTTAGGTGTATATTGTCACATCAGAGATACTGGCCTGGATATAGGTAACTAGTTGTTTAGGATACTACATTATTTAACATTGTTTTCATGGCATCTTGCAAGGTACTTAAATAAGAAGCGGGAAGTACAGATGATGTTCCATTGTCAGCTTCCCACCATCAAGGATGGGGTAGCATGCATTTCTGGAAGGAAAAAAATGGACACCTAAATAATGGATATAAGCTTAGGACCTGACAAGCCACATTAGTGTTAACCAGTTGTTATTTTAGGAGACCTTACCGGTTTATGGCAGTAATGCAATCTTCCTTCTTTTCTCCCTTTTGATTCTCTATATTCTAAGCTTAAAACTTTACAAGGAATAGTATTTTGTGGAGACATAGCAAACTAAGTTTTCCTTTTAATTTTACTAGGTTCTTCATTAGAGGCTGTAACCACCTGTGAACTCTGTAAAGAGAAGTTGCAGCTTAACCTGGAGGATTTTGATATTCATGAACTACATAGAGCTCATGCAAATGAACAAGTTAGTATATTTTGCCTAATTTGGTAAGTGTCTGTTCTATGCTTAAAGGACAACTCTTGAAGAAAAGATTAAATCATGGTCAGAAAACCTGCATTAAAATAATAATAATAATGTTTTTAATATAATTCTGTTACCACATTAGGTATTATATGATTCTATAATTTTTCATTTTCCCCCTAACTTTTTAAGGCACAAGGCACATAACAAAGTCACAAATTTTAAGTGTAAGGTAAAATTCATCATATGCTTCCTAAATAAACCTAAAAATAAGGAAAGCTTAGGAAATGGGTCCCAAAGTAGGCATGCCAACCTTCTCTCCCCAGAGCTGTCTCAATTGTGAATGCCTCTGAGTACTGGAAAATAATTGAAACACCAAACCCCAGATCTGCATCCTGTTTTTTTTTTTATGTTAGGAACAATTTTTTATGTGCCTATATGATCCCCTGTTCTTCCTCATGTCTGATTCCCTCTACCCTCCCCATTCCACTTCCATCTATATGTTGAATGAGTTATCTTATGTGAAATCATTTATTCCAAGTTCACATTGTTTTTCTTTCCTTTAGTATTTGTATCACTACAAATACATAATGTCAGGATTTCTCTGATGATACTAAAATTTTATTTCATATATTATCCTCTCATGTCTCAGATTTTTTTTGGTATATATTGATCTCTCCTTCCCTTCTCCCCCCATTGATTGGATCACTAATTTTTCTTGAAACTTAGAGCTCAGTATTTTTTACTTTTTAAAGGAAAATTCAGGTGGGAGATGTTGAAAGATTATGAGGATAACTCTAGGGCCATACTATCCAAGTGTGCTTATTAGCATATTTGTGATAAAAAGAGAGGTGATGGTGACAGAATGCATGAATGCTTGAAAAACACCTTTTAAATGAAGTGTTTGGACACGTTTCTCCCTTTTTTATTAAAGTGAAGTTTATGTAATGTAACCATTTTAAGGTGAACAGTTTATTGGTACTAGTACACTTGAGCACTGCACAACCATTACCTCTCTCTAGTTCCAGGACATTTTCATCTCTTCAAAAGAAAATCCTGTACCCATTAAGTAGTGGATCCCTATTTCCCCCTTCTCCCATCCCCTGGCAACCACCAATCTGTGTTCTATTTGACTTTGTCTATTCTGGATATCTCATATAAATTGAAACATGCAATATATGATCTTTTGTGGACACTCTCTTTAAATGTGCGAATATAGATACCCTTTGAAAATCTGATTAAAACCAAGGAACACTCTTTACAAAATACACATAGACACAAAATCTGCATATAATTTAAGGGACTCCCAGATCTCTTGAAGCTAATTGCCTAGATCCAGGTTAAGAATCACTGATCTAAGGAATGAAAAAAATTAGTTGATATAGTATAGATGCTACTCTAATACTAGTTATTGTTTTATTCCTTAATGAAGCCAGTTGTCCAAAAGGAGTACCACTTTCAATAAGGAATTGTCTTAAATTCTTAAGGAGTCTCTCTCTAGACAGCTAGAGTTTTAAGTTTTTTAAGTTTTGGGTTTTTTTAAGTTTTTTTTTAACGTTTATTTTTGAGACAGAGACAGAGCATGAACGGGGGAGGGTCAGAGAGACAGAGACACAGAATCTGAAACAGGCTCCAGGCTCGGAGCTGTCAGCACAAAGCCCAACGCGGGGCTTGAACTCACGGACTGCGAGATCATGACCTGAGCTGAGGCCGCTTAACTGACTGAGCCACCCAGGCGCCCCCTTAAATTTGTTTTAAATGTTTTATTATTTATTTTTGAGAGAGGGAGAGACACAGCGCAAGTGGAGGAGGGGGCAGGGAGAGAAGGAAACAGAATCCAAAACAGACTCCAGGCTCTAGGCTGTCAGCACAGAGCCCAACAAGGGGCTCAAACTCACAAGCCGTGAGATTGTGACTTGAGCTGAAGTGATATGCTTAACCAACTGAGCCACCCAGGCGCCCCTAGACAGTGGTATTTTAAAGAACAAGAGGAAATAGTATGGAAAGATGCAAAGAAATTTTTATTTTTTTCCTCAAAATCAGAGTAGGTTTCAAAGAATGGTTTTTTCCTTCCATTCTTTCTGTAGGTACTCCATCATGTCTCTTAAAGGTGGTTCTTTGGCTTTTCAGTACAGCCAAGAGTATTTTTCTTGTTCTTCAAGGATTTTAATGATCCACCTCTTAAATAATTGAGAGGCATTGAGAAATATTAGGTGCAAAATGACAGTCTTGATGAAGCTTTCTGGCTTTAACATCTTTGTTCTTAGTGAATCATGGATTTTAGTGGTCTGACAGATACCCTCATTTTAAATGATTAGTTTATAATACATTTTAATCTTCTGGATGCATGATTTTCTTTTAAGTTAAAAACAAACAAAGTTAATGAAGTGAAGCATTTAGAGAAACTTTTAATTTCAAATTTGTTGAGTATTCTGAAGAATCTATAACCAGTTACTTGCTGAAGTTGCTACTAAGAACATAGATTTCTTAAGTTATCAAAATATGATACAATTTAGAGATCACTGTGTAACAGTTACAGATTAGATTTTTTAATAGCACTATATTCATGATTTGTTTTCTTAGCTTCAAAACCAACAGAACAGCACTGAACCAAAGATCTATTTTTACCCATTGCAAATTTCTATGTGAATGATATGAGGAAGTTACTACCTTTTTTTTAGTTCATTTTTATATTTAGTGTTGCCTTTAAGTTAATTAAATTACATGAACAACCTGTCAGAATAGGATTTTAGTCACATAATGTATTGATTTTTGCTGTAGATGAAATGGTAATTTTTAAGCAAATAGTTATAGCTATCTGTGTAATGAAATCAGTTTTCAGCTTTATGTGGAACCAGAGCATTCATTCCACCATCAAATGATTTTTCCCACTTTTATATAAATCATTACATAAAGGAAGACTATATGAGAATGAAAAGGTTATTCACACACCTATTTGAATACATTATATGGCAATTAGTGAACTTTTATGAAACTATGAAAGACAGCTCTTTCTTTTTCAATAATTGGCATTATACTCTTCCTAGGAGCTGGATGTAAATACATTTCCTCTAGTTTATCAGTATGCTATAAGTATCAATCTCAGTTCTACTAATTTTTCATTCTTCATTTTTTTTTTTCTCGTTTGCTTTCCTGTTGAAGGCTGAGTATGAGTTTATCAGCTCTGGTCTCTACCTAGTTGTGTTATTGCACTTGTGCGAACAAAGCTTTTCTGATATGATGGGAAATACAAATGAACCAAGCACACGTGTCCGAGTAAGTAATATTGGAGTTGGGGGAGCAGGGAGGGTGTGATGCAGCAAGTGTTCGCTTTGGAAAGCAGATTGTCTTACATGTTTACATTTTGTTTTCTTTAGGGAGCTCTTATATTAAAATGTGCCTTGAAAATAAAGATAATGTAGATTTAATAGGAATTGCTTTCTTTATCAAGCAGGCTAATTTTTTCGAAAAGCTATTTTTAAAGAAGTAATTTTCTAGCTCTTGAAGGTAATTGGAATATATTTTAGTGAAAAACAGGGATGGAATTGAAAATACCTAGGGAAAATGCTCTTTTTCATTTGGGAGGGGAAAAAAACAACTCATTATTAAATTGAACTCCAAAAACCAAAAGAGTATGGGAAATTAACTTCAATTTCATTTGTTACTATCCTGTAAAAGATTAGCAGTGTACTAATTTTTAAGTATTCATATTACTAGAAACTACTTAAGATACGGACTATTGTGTGTTTACTCTGTACACTCTTACCTTAATGTTAACACTTGAGCTGGCTGTCTCTTAGGTGCTTATGAGTGTAGGATACTACTTATCTCAGTGTACCATAGGAAATTTATACTTTCTGCCTTGCCCAATTTGTGTGGCAGGGGCTAGGGCCTGCATCAGTACTGTAGTATTGTGAACACTTCATATCTTGAGATGTGTTCATAAACATATACTTCAGACTATTTTTTAAATATTCACTTTGTTAAAAATGGAGCCAAATTTCTGATAGGTGTAATGTTTTTGTTTTATCTTGAAAATTACCAAATAATCAAAATTACCAAATATATATAGTTTGGAAATTGGTAAAACATTTTTCTGTAATCCTCATGTGAACATTCCTGTAAGCCATTTGATAGATTATTATCATTGAGAGAAAAGAGAATGAACTATCAAGAGCATTTATAATTTGAGCAAAGATCTCTGGACTTTTAAGTACTTTAGAAATCGTAGTACCTAAATATAGTAGATGCCATAAGATGATTTCCTAAAAGGTAACTTATCTTTTCAAAATGAATAAACCTTTATATAAAGCATATAATTCATGCCTTTGTAAAAGGTACAAATTATTAAAGTGGAAGTCATTTTCACAAATTTTTTTTAAGTATTGAAATAAATGTAATACATCTGGAGCTATCAAATTTAGACAGGAAGATAAAATTGTTCCTGTTTTGTTTTTTTGACCACTAAGAGTGTTCATTTGTGTCCACATTGTAATGGTTTTAATTTTTTCTCCATAATTTTTTGAAGTGTTGTATTTATGCAAGACAGAAATGCCATTAGATAAAATTATCTTATTATAGCAGCTTTCAGTTTCTACGTGATTCATGATTTCTACATGACCATTTATATAATGGTGATTATATACAACAGTTAAAAAATATTTTAAGCTTGTAATTTTTGATGTGGGGGTAGAAAGACCCCTATTTTAAAGGCTTAAATGGTGGTTGACTTTTTAAAGTAGAAATGAATCTCCTATACTGATTCTCTTTTTAGATCAATTTGCAACATTTAAACTACTATATTTCTTTCTGCATTGTTTCTAGTTTATTAACCTTGCAAGAACTCTTCAGGCACATATGGAAGATCTCGAAAGTAGGTGGAATTTCCCCTTCCCAGACTTGTTGAATTTCTTTTGCAAATTAAATCCACAGACCAAAACCTTACTGTATATGCTTTCTACCAAATTAGAGCTTCATTTATAGGCGTAGTAATACCATAATAACTGATTTGGGAAAGATGTGTTGGGCAACTGACCTTTTTCAAAGCATATTTTTAAAAAATAATAATTTTAAGGTACAGAAGGATATATTTTAACTAGTGTTTTATTTAAAATTTTTATTTTTGATCGCCTTAATTTTAATCAAAAAGAAAACTTCTGGTCAAACCACACTTCTAAATCTGTTAGGTGTGTGTGAGAGAGAGAGAGAAATTTTGTTATTCATCTTTGTTAGATCATTAAAAGTTTTCCCTTGGTTTGTATATAGTTCTAGGAAAATAGGGGTGAAAGATTCCTAGTTCTGAGTCTGTAACAGAAGCCATAGTTTTTTTTTTGCTCCTTGTTCAGGTCCTCATGGACCTTTAATAGGCAGCCAGCTCCGACAGCAACTCCAATCTCTTAAGATCACGTTCCAGCATTAGGACTTCTGCCTGGGCTCCCATGTGAAGGCACTTAATGCCCAAATCTTTACAGGCATCTGCACAGCTTAACCTCAAAGTCCTACAATCTCCAGGGTGCTTCGTACCAGGTGGGCACAGATATTGGTGGCTCTGAAACAGTTCCTGGGAATTCAAGATTACCCTACCTATTGTACTTTTTCACCCAAAGCAACTGGCTCCCCACGATCAGATTCCATTACACTCTTTGAAGTGTTTTAAAATATATATTCTCCACTTGATTATTTTCTGTACTCGTCTTAAAAACACTTGTGGAGTGTTACCTGTAGTGTGCGTGGTTTTTTTACCTTTAGGGAAAGCTCAGCATCCTTTGAAGTAAAGTTTGAGAAGGACTTGGTCTTCATGAGAGCCTTTTAATTCCTAGAATATTCTAAGACTTGGGTTGTTGTCATTAAGTTTGTACTATTTTTAAGTTTTGAAAGGATTAGAGGTACAACCAGATGCCTTTTCACAGTTTAGTATGTGTGAAAATGGTATATAAAGGAGTCTGGTATATAAAGTGGGAATTCATTTGGTGTACATCTTTTTTTTCTTTTATATAAACTTCTTCACATCCCTTATGTTACCTAACACAAAGATCTCTTTTAGCAAATTACAATTCATACTTTGCCAGATGTGATGGTAGTAATTTGTTTTAGTTGATAGTAATATTTTCCCCAGATTGCTTTACTTTTTTTTAAACTAACATTTAGTAGTTTCCTAAACATAGCAGTGTCTACTGCCAACATGTAAGAAAGACGGAGGTGAAATATACCCAGATTCAGCTGAGAGTAAAAGCTGTTGTGGGTGCTACAAGCTTACTCCTAAGTACCAGAATATTAATGTATTCTAAAAGTTGGTTCTTACTGAATTTTCTTGTCTTGTGGAGTTAATTGAATAGAAAACATGAGAAGTTCTCTGAAAAACTGTTTTATTTCTTAGTTTGATATTTCTCCATAATATAGCATAAAACGTAACCATAGGATTTACTCATTCATGAGCCAAGTATATGCTTGCTATCATTTACTAAAAATGGATTGAAGATTTCTGCAAGATAAATTGAAACATGAAAACTTAAGTTTCATCCATACATGTAGGATGTTTTTGTTGATTCCATTTGTTGGGTGCTCTTAAATATTGGGTCTAATATTAATACAAGAAGAGTATACATTTAACCTTTCTGCCCTTGATAATAGGGGAAATGCTGGTTGGGTGTTTATTTTAGTGAATTCCATTTTCCTCAACACATAACAGTTTAGAGAATCCATAGTTTTATACTTAGGTCCCTCCTATAGACATTCCAGGATGTTTATTTTAAACTTCTGAGCTACTACAATGGCTCTTAAATTGAGGTCAGAAATGTTACAAACATGATGTTTCTGACAATGTAGAGGCATAGGAATAATCTCAAAAGTTTTTTACTAAATCCAATTGTTTAACTTACGCTGTGTCTATATAAAAGCTTTTTGGACTAAATAGAGCTTTTTCTTGGCATTGTATAGACATAGCTTTGATGTAAATTGCAAGAATACCCATAACCTATTCTGTGTACATTTTTTTTCATTCTCATCGGATGCATCAAACATGCAGCGGTAATAAACCAGATTCTACTCAGGTGTGTGAGAGCACTTGCCTTAAGTTCATTTTTTTCTCTAGTGTCTAAATCATTAGCTACTGTGAACACAGGCTGATCTCAGAAGCTTTTTAGAAGACGTTCTTGAAGCACATTTTTAAGCATTCTCATTTTTATAAAAACTAACATAAAAAGATGTGGGGGGTGGGAGCATTATGGATGGGCATCACCCACAGTCAAACCACCCCTAACCCTGTCATAACTTATCATTTGACCAAACAGAATACTAAATTGGGTTTTTTTATTTTACAAGTCATTGCTGTTCTGGCTTCATATTTACACACCCATTCTCATCCCCCTTAAAATCATTCTTGATCATCCTGTTTTCTTTCAACAGCTTCAGAGGATGATTCCGAAGAAGATGGAGACCATAACAGAACATTTGATATTGCCTAACTTCATATAAGACAAATGGATGATCTGTGAACAAGTGTTTATTAAAACTGGCAATTACGTATGATTTAATTTTGTGGGGAATGCCTATTGGAGATATATATATATATATATATATATATATATATATAGATATATATAGATATATATATATATTTAGATATTCTCAAGTATTGCTGAATTAAAAATTCTCCTGGACCTTTTAACATGGCCAATGAATCTGATGTTTATAAACTGGTCATCAAAAGTATTTTTCTTTTCGGTGAGTGGGAAAATGTTATCCTTGTTTTAAATATCTAATGCTGATGACCTTTTTTGTGTTTTGATTACTGTAGTCATATTTATGAAAAAAAATGGTTCGTTTTTAGTTTCTTGCTAGTGAAAAAAGTGGGACAAAATATGCTTTTGAAATAAAATGGCACCTAATTATTTTTCTTTTCAAAAATGCCTTAAGTTACAGTCTCATTTTCATGATCATTTGCTTCCAGTGTTTATAAAAAAAAATAATTGGGAAGTTATGAAAGCATTATATATTAGGTTCCCAAAGTTAATATGAATCCTAAATTCACTTAGCAATAAAATCTAATTTTTAAGAAGTATATAAATATAAAATGTATAAATGATGGATAAATTTTTGTATTGATTTGCAAAATGCAGATTATATTTGATAAGCCATAGTATGTAGATATTCCTTTTAGGAGTATTACAGCTGTAAATTATATCGGAATTGCCCATCAAATGCTATTTGGGAAAAAAAATTACTGCAATCTCAAGTTAATGGAATATTTTTAAATCCCACATTTCAAGTTTAAAACACTGGTTTTCAATGTGTTTTTTAGTGTTGTCACTTCTTTATAGATAAATACGATATAAATAACCTGTTTGGATCCTGGTCGTTTTTAACTGTTCCTTGGTAATTCTGAGCATTTATTTACTGACTTAATATTTTTCACCACTTTTGGAGAACAGATGAACATCACCTGTTCACCAATGAATAGATCTACACCATGGTCAGGAGTTGTGTATAAAGTTTCATAACACTGTATATATTTCCTCTGTCAACACCCTTTAGGATATACTTTTAAACACCTTCAGGTGGTTTCAGATTTAAATAGTCTTATGTTATGGCAACTAACTACATTTTCAGAACCTAAATAGAAACCATGTAATTTCTCAAATGTGAGTCAACAGTTTGGCCACACTTTGTTTGTCTTAATGTAAAACCTTGGCTGGAAATAAAATGCATACTGATTGATTTACTTTATAGTTTGAAATGTTTCCTTTTGAACTGGTGGTGCTCAAAGTAGACTTCAAACCTTAAAGCTTTTTTAAGAAGTAAAATCCCAATTCATACAAAAATATAAATTAAAAAAAAATTTTTTTTTTAACGTTTATTTATTTTTGAGACAGAGACAGAGCATGAACAGGGGAGGGTCAGAGAGAGGGAGACACAGAATCTGAAACATGCTCCAGGCTCTGAGCTGTCCGCACAGAGCCCGACGCAGGGCTCAAACTCACGGACTGCGAGATCATGACCTGAGCCGAAGTCAGCAGCTTAACCGACTGAGCCACCCAGGCGCCCCTAAATGTAAAACATTTGCTCAACTTTTACCTGTTATCTCTGCATTGCCTTAAAGGAAAAATACAAAATTAAGGATACCAGTTTCACTATTCTGTGGGCCCTTAAGGGGTGCTTTGAGTTTCAAACATTTACACTTTTAATAGACTCAGCATGAAAGTTAAGTATCTTCTACTTAACCCACGAAACTTACTTAAAAATTTAAATAGTAGGGGGCACCTGGGTGGCTCAGTTGGTTAAGCGTCCAACTTCGGCCCAGGTCATGATCTCCTGTTTTGTGCTTTCGAGCCCCGCGTTGGGCTCTGTGCTGACAGCTTGCTCAGCCTGGAGTTTGCTTTGGATTCTGTGTTTCCTTCTCTCTCTGCCCCTCCCCCATTCACTCGCTTTCTCTCAAAAATAAATGTTTTTTTTTTATTTAGTAGAAAACATTCCATTGGTATGCAGTTTATTGTCATATTAAATGCTTAATGCCAGAGATACAGTGGCTTGAGCTTTATAGTATACTTTCAGTTCCGTAGTACCGCTATTTCATATTTCAATATTTCATAAGCTTCTGATACCCTGTACGTGTGAATTACTTTTAAAACCATATAAACAGAAATAGACCATAGAGCACTCACTACAGAGAATGCAAATTCCTAGGAAAATGCAGTTTAATGTTATTCTCTCTAGATACCTGCCAAACGTAAGAATTTATACTGTCCTTATTAACCAAAACCAAGATGTTGAAGAAAGCAATTTATACATTTTGAATATAAATAAGCATGGTTATGTTGATAATATTAAAAATATACATACAGACTTGAATGACCCAGTTTGCTGTTGACCACTGAATAGATGCAAAGGCCCTGTTACAGATGTTCTGATGTATGAAGAAAATTAAGATTTAACACTTCACTAACCAGGGACCTCTAAGGACTTACTTGAAAAGTGAAATCAAATATGGAAAATTAAATCAGTTTAATGTAGCCGTTTTGTAAGAGCTGCCATTGGTTAGAAGTGATCAAAATTAACAAGAAAATTAGTTGTATGGGAGTTAAGTGGAAGGGGAGATTCTAGAGCAGCACTGTCCAGTAAAACTTCGTGATGATGGAAATGGAAATGCTCTGTAATTTGTATTGCCTATTACGGTAGCTGCTACATGTGTTTGAGCATTTGAAGTGTGGCTGGTGCAACTGAGAAACTGAACTTTATATTTAATTTTAACATAAATAGCCACATGTAGCTTGTGGCTACCATATTGGATACTGTAGAAATCTGTGACTATTAGAGAAAGTTTTAAGGAAGAGTTAAGATCTTAGTTTTTAAATGACTGGTAGAATTTGAATAGAAAAAGGAAGGAATTCCAATCTGTTCACTATTAATAACTTACCAAGAATAAAATAGTATCCAAAAACTTAGAAATGTAAAGCTCTTACAGAGTGTAGTTGTTTTGTGTAATAAGGCTAGTGTAACATCTGTTCTTTTAGTACCACACAGCCATACTATATAGTCTTGTCAGCACTTTGTAGTTTTTCCTATGTCATTAAACAACAGTGCCATTAATTGTGATGAAGGAGGTTATTCGTAATGCCAGTGGACACATCGTGTAAGCTGGGACTTTGTTGCCATTGGTCAAGCTTGAGATAGTGTATCTCCCCATAAGAAAAGTTTTTCCCATAAGATAATTGATGAGACATTGGTTAGGGAGAGAGACTACTACTTTGAGCTTTCAGGGTTTCTAAATACAGTAAATCTAATTTTATGTGAACTCCATATATTTATCTTTTCTAGTATTTTTAAGCTATAAAGAATGCTAAGGAAAATCACTCTTGATTCAGCTCTCGTTTTCATTTTTTACCCCCAGAAAGATTCTTCTCACCTTTGTCTTAAGATGTACGGAACATGTACTGAGAACTTTGATCATCACAACTACAGTAGTATGTAGTGTTTTTCTGCAGTTTTTGCTAACCTAGTTTTCATGTCCTTGAATGATAGTTCATCAGTGTTCAGGGAGCATTGACACACCTTATATAGGAACAGATATGGAGGTAGAGAAGAAATTTTCTTAAATGGGCTCTGTGATCAAAGCATTATCCTCACTGCCATCCACTTCCACACCTTCCTGGTATGGCTGTAATCCTTCTTACTTCAAAAACTTTATAAAATTTCATTGACATTCTAACCATTTGTTATTAGTACAAAATAAGATTTCTTGTCCAAAGTGATGTTCTAAAAGTAATGAAATTTTAAAATGTGGAATATGGGGTGGTTAAAATCTAAAAAATTTTCTACATCTAATAGGGGAATTGTCTGCCACAGTAAATTGTAATGTGTGACGTCTTAATGTATAGGATCTTTTTAAAGGTATGTTTTCTCATGTTTATTAATAAAAGAGCAAGACCTAGAAATTGGTTAAGACCCGGTGATTGCTAAAACTACAGTGGTAGGTAAGAGTTATTTTTGTTTTTGTTTTTTTCCCAATTCTAACCTAAGGTGGTTCAACCAAATGGGAAGGAAGATAGAGCAGTAGACTGGGTTTTTATTTTTATCTACTTTACTACTTTGGGCTTTATTTAAACTTTTTTAAGTGAAAGGTACATTTAGGGAGGTGGTTAAAACTACCAAATTGTATTTATGATCATTCCTTTTTAAAAACTTCTTATGATGAACCTAAAGATCAGTTTTTGTCACGATTACATGAGAATAATGAATGTTACTGGAATAAGGAAATATACCATGAAAACTGATTTTCATCAAATTTTACATTAAAATCCTGTACAGGAAATCGCTGTCAACATTTGATGTCTTAATCTGAAATTTCCAAGATCTTAGTCAAATTGAACAGCATACTCATTTTCTTCTGCAACAACCAAAACACAGTCGTCGTTGTAAGGTGATTGGGGTGCAGTTGAAAAAACTGTGGTGAAACCAGAATCCAAATTTCTTTTGTACAGGAACCAAACGATTGCTCCCAAAACTGTCAAAATTACTGTGCTAGCAATCACCAAAGCTGATATTAAAATGTGGTTATCTGAAAAGGAAAAGACAAAAAAAAAAAAAAAATATATATATATATATATATGGAAATCAGGACACCCCGTTGCCAGAACTGCACTGGGGGGGGGGGGGCATAAATACAGTTTCATCATGTAAATATTTGCCTATTAGAATTTCCCACACTGATGAGAAAAACAAAAAATTACACTTATTCAGATTTGTATTTGTTAGCTTGAATGACTGCCATTCTTAAGATTTTAAGTTTTACAATTCTCCATTCTAAAATGGAAATTACCTACACTCAGGGTATATCACGGTTCTACGTGTCTTCCTTGTATTTTACTTCCTAGTCTAAGACTTCCTATTTACTGCTCTTTTCAAGACTAGTTGTCTTTAGATACTTGTTTACATTAATGAAACTTATTGGTTCATCTGGCTTTTGGCATTTAAAACTTGTTATCACTGAGAAAAAACAAGAATGGCAGTGAATTATCTCCCTTTTTCTGTTTATTCAAGTAACTATATATATGTGTGTATTCCTGAAGTAATTACAACCTTGCAGTCCTTGGCTACTGAAAACCCTCATAAACTTTCCATAAGTCAGTCAGTCCAGGGAAATTAACTCAGTTTAGGAGTTACGAGGAAGAAAATGGCCACTAAAAGGAAAATTCTCTCCTTTTTGATCTTTCAAGTTTGTAGCAGTCACAGTTTGGTAAGGTTTGGGGTGTATTATTTGTGTTGGACCTTTAGATGAAAACGTATCAAGAAAGCCAGGCAAATAGTTGCACAGTCTTATGAAATATTTTTTAATGAATTCAAAGACAACTTTGTTGCTAGTTCTTTCAACAACTCCTGATAAGATTTTGAGAACCATCATAAACCTACATACACTTTTGTACGTAAATCTCTATCCTTTTATATTCTACTCAGTAAATATCCTTCCCCCTCACCCAAATATACCCGTGCAAATGTTCTACAAGATATGTGTCAGAAAATACTGTGCTCCTCCTGTCCCACTGCCACTCACCCTGAATTCCCATTAATCAAAGCCATTCCTTTTAAGATTATTTGCCTCCATACTTATAAATAACATACTTACACGGCTTTTCTTGATTTAATTTTTTAATGTGAAATAAACATAACAAAATACCATCTTAACCGTTTTTAAGTTCACAGTTTTATAGCGTTAAGTACGTTCACACTGATGTGCTGTCACCACTGTTTCTCCACAGAATTCATCTTTCAAACCTGAGAAACTATGTATTAAACAGTAATGCCCCATTCTTCCCTCATTTTATTCCTTGTCAACCACCATTCTACTTTTTGTAGGTCCACTACTCCAGGTATCTCAGATCATTGGAATCACCAAGTATTTGTACTTTTGTGACCAGCTTATTTCACTTAGCCTAATGTCTTCCAAGTTTGTGCATGTTGTAGGATGTGTCAGAATTGCCTTTTTAAGGCTAAATAATGTTCCATAGTGTATATGTCATGTTCTACTTACCCATTCATCTGTTGATGGACACTTGGGTTGGCACCTTCCACTTTTTGGCTATTGTGAATAATGCTGCTATGAACATGAGTGTACAAATGTTTGATACCTCTTTTCATTCCTTTTGCGTATATACCCAGAAGTGGGATTGCTGCATTGTATTTCTATTTTTAGTTTTTTGAGAATTTATCATTACTGTTTTCTGTACC